GTGCTCCAAAATAATTTATAAAAATTACAAAAAACAATTCAGTAAGAAGCATGAGAGTTGAAAAACACTGATCTCATTCTGGAAACTTCTAAGTTTTGAATTGCTAAGAGCCCACGACAGTTCTCTTAGACAGTATTCCTGTGCTGCTCTTAGTAAGTTTTCTATACATTATACACACATTTTTGGTCAGTGTCAGAAATGGAATATAGGGCTAGGTGAACTTTTATTCTGATGGCATGCAAATACTCTCACACAATTCTGCAAAAAAAAGGGAACTGGCGTTTTTAAAGCAAGCTTTCCCAGCTGGCTGGAATAAACAGTGAGGGAGGTGGTGCAACAGAGTTGGGAAACTACAGAACAATACTAAATATGTATCCTTAAGTGAAATAAAAGTATTGATCTAAAAAGAAAGAATAAATATAGAATAGCTAGTTACACATATGCATCAAAAAAACTTATAGCTTTTCTGGTTTTCATCATCATGATAAAATGTGTAATTAAAAAAATATTTATAAGAGTTTTGAAAAATGTATCATTACAATTTACAGGCCCATTCAAGAAGTTAGAAAATGGGTGATAAAATAATAAAATTAAATTAAAATTTTGAAGCATATTAATGCTCTTAAAGTTAGATGCAAATCAGAGATTAATTTATAAATCTGTTCTTGGACTTTGAGATTTTCTTGTCAGGAAATCTGAATTTAATATATTTGAAACTGGAAACAAATTTTCTAAGGAATTGAAATGAGCAATTCACCAGAAAGTAATTAGAAAACAAACATATAAAAACAACAGTACTCCATGTTGTAATTCTGACAAAATATATTGTGTTTTAGAAATCCATTAAGGGAGCAAATTGTGCATCCTGTACTGTTTTATCATTGCAACAACCAGCCCCAGTGGTTTTTATTGAAACAAATTTTTTCTCCACTGGATGAACAGTGCTAGATGAATATCAAAGGGTTTAACAATATTACCATAATTACATCTCTTCTCGAGTTTTGTTCTGATGAAGAGCAAAAAATAAATAGAACTCAGTCCAAGAGATCCATGACACAAAACCAGCAATGAAACACTCAGCAATTAATATAACCCCTAAGTATCTCAATTCCTCTCTTATCATCCAGGCAAATCAAAAAACTCCTCCTCTGTACTGTGGTGCCTTCTCAAAACGCATCAGGCACTGCCCAGGCATTCAGAGAGTGTGCAGGCAGACCAGTGTCTACACACTCTGAACGTGCTCACTGTTCACAAGGAAGCAGTTCGCAACTCCTTCTGCATTTGGCCCTACTCACACCCCTAATTCAGCACAGCAGAAGTTGGAAAACAGAGCAGAGCAGCAAAAGTTAACATAAACATGACAAAACGTAAACACAGGAGTCAAGATTTTTCCTGCTCCTGTGGCCCTTAATCCACATGTGTCATTAGGCCATCCCAAAAGCTGTCAATGCTCCAGTCATATCCATTTTCTCAGGGCTTAGAGCAAGGACTGTTAATACCTGAAGCAGAATTTCCCACATGGTTTCCTTTAGAAAGAATTAATGTGCACAAGTTCACTCCGAATTAAAGAGGGAATGATGAAAGAATTTGCCTTAAAGCCACATTATATCTTTTAACCAAAATGTAAAGGTATGTTTATGCAGCTGCAGCAATTTTCATCTTATCTTGCTCCATTTATTTTTCTTGACTACTTCTTAAATTTGATTTTTCAACTGTACTTGCAAAAACTGTTTTAATTAATAACTTGTGATATATTTCTGTGCAGTTCAGAGTAATAAGACTGTCTCTCATCAAAAGAGTGCTACTGGGCTGTAGTGGTCTAGCCTTTATTAAAAAAAAATCTGGAAGTGAGTACAGTTGTATTATAACATATTTAGAGATGTGAAGAGAGAGAATCTTCTTTTTGGAATTTTTGTTAATTTGATTTTTCTCAATCTTAAAAAAAGGGGGAATGACTGCAATTTGATTTTCTTACTCATCTAAAAAGATAGATTTAGCGAGCAGCAATTTGTTCTTATGGACTTTACTAGCTTTGTTTTGGTTTTTTAGTTAAAGTAAGGAAGAATGTCATTCACATTGTTTCTATTCCCAGACCAAAACTTTGTATCCATAACAATTAGAATTTACACAGTGATACTGTTAGGAAGACTTTATGTGTACAGCAGATGAATTATTTTCCGCGTATAGGAAAACCATCATTAAATACCTCATATAATTAGGAAGAAGAAATACCCCTTGAACTTCTAAGGGAAGAAAGGAAAGGGTCTAAGGGAAAGCAGACAGTGGATAATGTTTCTATAGTTCAAAAATACAAGGAAAACCAATCTCATTGAAGATGCATCGTTAAAAGTAACTTTTGCCTGTGAAATGTGAGGAACACACCCACCTCTGACACTATGACGGGATGACCATGGCTGCATTCCAGATGCCCACCCAGCTGCTCTCTCACACCTCTCCTCTACATGACAGGAGTGGAAAGGAAAACAGAAGGTTTCATGAACCTTCTGAGATGAAGGGGAAGATGTATTACCTTTTAAACATAGAGTAGAATGATTAAAAACAAAGACAAAACTAAAATAATCTTCCTTCCTTCCTTCCTTCCTTCCTTCCTTCCTTCCTTCCTTGCTTCCTTCCTCCCTTCCCTTCCCTTCCCTTCCCTTCCCTTCCCTTCCCTTCCCGCTCAACATCACTTCTTTATTCATTTTCTCCACTATCTCTTCCACCTATACACAGAAGGGGAATGTCAGGATACAGCTTCTCTCTGCTTCTCTTTCCTCCTCGTGCTGCTCCCCTGTATCAGAGTGAGGGGTGTCACACCCATGGGATACAATCCTTCACAAACTGCTCAAGCATGGCTTCTTCCTGCAGGCCATAGTTCTTCAAGGACTGGTTGAGGATGGGAGCTTTCCATGCAGAGAGACTTTTAAGAAAGGCTGTTCCAGAGTGGGTCCCCTAGGGTCTGAGATTCCTGCCAGTAGCCTGCTCCTGCATGTGCTCTCACAGGCTGCACTTTCCTTCAGAGCACAGGGTCCAGCAGAGGCTCATGCACGGGCAGTAAGATGGCCATTTGTTCCACCATGGACCTCCACAGGCTGCAGGGGCACAGCTGTCTCACCTTGCTCTGCACCACGGGCTGCAGGGAAATCCGTGCTCTGGCTCCCAGAGCACCTCCTCCCCTTCCCGCTTCAATGACCTTGGTGTCCGCAGGGTTGTTTCTCTCACATTGGCTCAACTTTGGCCAGAGGGTTTCCTTTGGAGCCACTTGGAGCTGCTTGTGTTTGGGGAGCTCCTAAGCTCTTCTCACAAAGCCCATGGATATATGGATTTTTTGCTAACAACATGATAACTTTATCATATTCCAGATAGAAATCAAACTTAAAATAAAAATTATTTCATGCATCCACAAGCTCCACAGTTCAATATTCCAGTCCACTGCAAAACATATTCCATTAATTTAATATTTCATAGCCAGCTATTTACCATAATCATTAGAGATAATACAAAAGGATAGTGAATATTCCTCAAAATTAATTTAAAAGTTTGTTTCAAGCTCATATTCACAGATGAAAGAGAAAATATTTTTCAATAAACATCATGTTTTGGGTATTGATTTATACCATCAACAAAGTGAGATTTTTCATGCTATCCCTTCCTAGATGAATCAGTTATATCCATTGAATATTTATTACCAAGATATCTGTCGAATAGTATATCCATTAATTTAAATGGTATTTTCCATTTCAAGAAGTACAATAAATAAAACTGCACAGCAACAACATCTGATCCCAATTGTTTCATCAATTCTGCTCATCTTGTACAACAGAAATTAACCTTTTAAAACTGCACGGGAAAACATTTTAAACCAACATACTGCCAGCTAAAAATAATATTAAGGACTCACACTTTTTGAAAGACATAATTAATATTACATTTTCTATTAACTTCAATCTACGTGGCTTACTACTATGAGTGGCAAGAGATTGCACAAATTCTGTGTACTATGGAGGTATTCATACATATTAAGGAGCAAGATAGCTGTCAGCATGAAACTGTTTAGACAAAGGTGTAAGAATTTAATTTCTGTGTATTGGTACAATATTTTTAATACTACTAAAACCATTACTAAATAAAAAATGTTGCCATTGTTTGCTTATATCCTCTACAAGTGCAAATCAGCCATATATCAATTAATAACACTGAATATTGTTTTAAACAACTACAATGGATGATCTAAATAATCTCACAAATAGAGGTTTTGGAAAGAAAGTATGATACTAGGCAACTGTGTTTTGCTTTGGGATTCATTCTACAAAAAATTAGCTGTATGTCTTTTTTCTACTTGCTAAATAAAGCCACAATCATACAGGTGAAGATGCACAAAGACCTTTAAATAGCTGTAGTTTCAATTTTTGCTGACCTAGACATCTAACCATCACCCACATTACAGCAGTCATTCTTTTTTACTACTCTAACCCTGCTTATACTGTTATTTTTTTTGAACTTGAAGCTACCATCCCAGAAATAAAAGGGTCTTGAACCAGGAGTCAAAGCAATTGTTTTCAGGTTATTTATAGTATTACAGAAAATCAGAAACGGTCTCAGAATTTAGCAAGGTTCAACAGTGACATTAAGATGTGTCTACAAAGGAGTAGACAGGTTCCCTCTAAATTGGGTTAGGCTGGAATCCTTGAAAAAGGAACTCTTTTCTTTCTTGACATCTGTTTTGCATTTAATAGCAGAAGCAAGGTTAATTTTCTCATTAAGGGTTTGCCACAGCACTTTAATCCTGTTGCTCTTTAATTTTACTCATGTTGTCAATGGGTGTTTGGTGTCACAGAAGAGCGTTTTTGGTGGTACCACTCGCTCTCTGCAGCCAGAGGTCAGGAGCCCTGGACACAGTGAGAGGAATGCTTAGGATACTGTGGCAGACTCTGGCAAGGAGATCTGGCTGGAGATGCTGCTGAAGACTGCAAGAGACCTCAGCCTTGGGGATGATGCAGGGCATGGCTCCCAGCCTAAATGGAGAAACACATCATGTGCTCCATTCACAGCTCTGGAGGGAAAATGCTCCCATCAAGGTCTTGCTGTCCTCTCTGAGGCTGGGGCAGGCAGGGGCAATATTCTTGCCTGTAGGTGGGATCAAGAAGTTCTATTATTAAACTGAAAGAAGGGGCCAGCTGGAAGTTCGCCTTCCCAGGTATAGGACTTTGTCTCTGCTCTGTGAAATTTAGCAGAGACAAAGTCCTACACCTGGGAAGGAAGAGTCCCTTGCAATGACATGGTGATGTTTTTTTTCCAAAGCAGCTGTTGCTTAGAGACTGGCTAGGTAATCAATCTGCTGGTGGTGTTGATCACTTCTTCGTCACTTGTTTTTTTTTTTCCCTTCTTTTCTCTTTTCCCTCTTCCCAGTTTTAATCAGTCTTTATCTCAATCCACAAGTTTTTTTTCTCAATTTTGCCCCTCCAATTCTGTCCCCCAAGCCACTGCTGGGGAGTGAATCAGGCTGGGTGGGAGCTTATCTGCCAGCTGCGGTCAAGCCATCACAAACCCACTGCCCAGAGTAGGTCATGCAGACCTGGATGTTTTTGAGACCTCACTAGACAAAACCTTGAATAACTCAGTCTGACTTGGGAGCTGCTCTTGCTTTGAGCAGGAGGTAGGACTGAAGATCTCATGAGGTCCAATCCACTCTGACTTGTCCTGTGATTCCATGTTTTGCAGTTATTGTAAGTCAAATATAAGGGGTGCTTTACTAACGGAGAGAGCTGATACTAACAGAGAGAGTTGATCACAGACATCTAACAGTCTATGCAACTAACTGTTTTTTAAAAGAAAACCAAACACATAAACAAGCCAATACAGGCATATAAGTAAAAGAGATTTGAAATATAGTAATATGCCTAAGCAGATGAGCCTCTTTCTGACCATATCTCCAACCTCGGGTTACTTGCATTACAAATAAATCAAGAAAATACTTGTGTGATATGGTATGATGTGATATGTATATGTTATCGTAAAATAAATAGTAGTAAAGAAAAGCTAAAACCTGTTGCATGTTATGTGAAATATGTTAGAAAGGTGGGCTTATATGCATGAGCTTCCATTTGCTATTAGTCATGATGGAAACAGAAAAATCATATGATTAAATTTAACAGCAGACATCAAATATAAAAAAGCTCTCAGTCTTTCCCAAGAGAAATTACCTAGTTACTAAACCCTAAATCTAGTTACTTAGAATGTCATTATTCAGCAGCAAATGCACATAAATTAGATTAAATTATTTGTTATTTAGGCAAAAAAAAAAAAAAAAAGTTACTGTTTCTCATTACACAACTCATAGCACCAGATATGTACATTTAGTGATTGATTGGTGGGCTTGGGGGCTTTTTCCTTTCTCTTTTTCAAACTTTCCGAGTCTCAATGAAAGTGGGAGCCTTCTGGATTACTATTTAGTTATCAGCATAGAAAAACATAAAATGAAGGAAATATGCTCAGCTAAGGGTCCTTGAATAAATTATCAAGTCATTTCAGCAGGACAATAAATAAACAGGTCTTCAGAGGCACAAAAAAATAAGGAATAGGCACTTCTTTCAGTTCTCCCTCTCCTAAGAAAAGATTTGATGTTCAACAAGACAGGGAAATGATTTGCCTCACAGTTATTTTTTTGCTTTGACTTTCATCAGGACTCTGTAGCTTGCAAAGCTTACTTCATCTCTTCTGTTCCTCCCAGTCTTCACTTTTGCTTCCTAGTCTTGCTATACTTGTCATTTCTCCTTGCACTTTTTAATAATGAACAGAAAATATTTTCTGTTTCTGTACCCTACAGAAATTCTAAGCCACTGAGGTCCAATTGCTCAAGGCTGGGATGCAGTGAGGGCCGCTTTGTCTTGTATAATCTTTGCTTTATAGACACTTTTTGGCATTTTGAAATAGTAATTTTGGGTGTGAATGCTCCCCAAATAATCCAACTAAGTAATACTACTAAACTAAGTAAAAATAAGCTTGTTTTTAACCAAAAGCCTACTTCGGTGCATTTTAATCATCACAACTCAATTTAGTTAGTGTAGCTTTATTTTTTGTTTCATCTCCAGAAGTTTATGAATTTCTTTTACCTGCATTTTGAGTTTTCTGGTCTCTTCTTCCAAACCTTGTTTTTCTGCTTCTAGTTGCTCTCTCTTTCCCCATTCAGAGGCATTCTCACACCGCACTCTTTCCATCTGGGAATGTTGAGGGTAGGAGGAAGAATAACCAAAAAAGAAAAAAAAATAGGAATAATCTGATTAAAACCCCTGGTTTTCACAGGGTGAGGCTAATGGCTTCACCTCAGAATAAGGTTGGCACTTTAGAAATCAGCTCAAGGTGCAAGTTTTCCATGTGTCATAAAGTTAAATATTTTAATTTGAAAATAACAAAACCAGTCAAATTTTCATCAAATGGACCTTCAAAAAAGCAAATAATAGATAATTTTTTTATACAGTAACTGTAACAAAATCCTATTATTTTCCTGCTATTTCTAGAAAAATAGTATTAAAATAATAATAAAATGTTTTAAATAAAACTGAGACTGATTTTGGCTTCACAATGTCAAAGTTCATTTTTTATTCTCCAAAAGACAAAAATCAGCATGTTTTTATTCTCTTTAAAACTGTTAGGATTGTAACAAATGTATATTAAACTGAAGAAGTTCTAAAGTATACCTTCTGTACTACATGCAGTTATCCTGATAATCACAGGAAAAATTTTTAAGTTTTCATGGTAATCTCTTTCTTGTGGTCATGATTAATAGTCTTAAGGAAAATAACATCTTTTATGGCCAATGCTGTAACCTTATTTTAGGATAACTTTATGAATTTGTTAATCAAATCCCCATATAAGACAAATTAAATATATCAACAAAAAGACACATTACTAAGTCACGTAGAGTAATTATCAAAGAACTGACTTATTCTTCTGAGACAACTACATAGAGGTTTTTGTCAAGGCTGCATTAAATACTTCACAGGCTTCAAATTAATAAATTGTAAAGTGAATTTTTGTCTATAACACAAACCAGATACTTATCAGGTACTAATGGAAATGTATCAGAAGATAATTATCGACAAGTACTCACTGTTAACAAGTTATTATTAACCAGTTCTTAACAGGAGATTAAAAGAGATTAACATAGATTAAAAACTGTGAAAATAAAAGGCTCCAGTTCTTTTAATTGAGGTAAAAAAAAAATTGCTAATATATTTTTAAAAGGTTAAAATTTTAAGAGCTTTTTACAATTTTCAGTTCTGCGAGAACTAAAATTGATGGTTTGATAAAAATGGCGAGTGAAAACATTGTGAGATACTTCTTCATTGAAGAAACAGGATATCTGTGCCAACAAGGCTTTAGAAAGAGCCATAGAGGTGTGCTTTTTCAGTTCTATTGGTTACTTTTTATTCTAAAATAAATTTTTGGCAAATAATGAAAAGGTTCTGAATGCAGAGCAAAGAGAATGAGCTGTTGCAGCATAAAAGAAACATTTCTGATTCTGTGAATAGTAATGTCATTCTCTAGCTAGATCAAATTGCGAACTTGTCTGTTCCCACCTTATTTCGGAGTCAATAAAAACAATTAAAAACAGAATAAAGTTAAAGAAGCTCATTCAGATTATGAGAGGACAATAAAAGTGTTTGTTCCACTCTGCTCTGTATTGGTGTTGCTTCACCTCCAGCACTGTCTGCAGTTTTGGGCACAGGTCAATATATTAGAGTGGGTCCAGAGTGATACTACAAGTTGCGAGCCCCAACACACAAGTAAATGTTTGATGCTCCCATATTCCCATGCCCCTGTTTAGCAGCAAATATTTTTTCTTTCCCACCAAAGTTATGCAAGCTGTTTGAATGCTTTCTACTGGACTACAATCACAAGCCCCATATTTTTTCCTAATTAAATAAGCAGGCATATTTAATATTACAAGTATCCATAAAAGTTCCAGAACATGAGAAACCCAGTCTTCTTGCAAAGCACCTGCCAAAATACACAGCTGAAATTCTAAGCCTGAAAGTTCACCTTTTCACAGTGTTGACACTAATCAATACAAATTCATTTTGTCAGACATCAAATGCAGAGAAATCACAAAACCATCCAAGGTTGAATTTCAGTCAAGAAATTAAGCAGAATATGACTATCGCATGAAGATCTGATGTCAAAGATAAATTTATTTACCTGTGTCTGTAAAATTTCAATTCATTGCAGCCCAGATGCAACTATGATAAATTTACATATTTAACAGTTCTGATTTCAGCTGGGATAGGAGTTAATTTTCTTCCTACTAGATGGTACAGTACTATGTTTTGAATTTAGTATGAGAATATTGTTGATAACAAAGGGAAATTTTCATTGTTACTGAGCAGTGCTTACACTAAGTCAAGGCATTTTCAGCTCCTCGTACTGCCCTGTGAGCAAGGAGGCTCAGCCTGCACAAGAATCTGGGAGTGGACAGCTAACCCAAAACAGTCACAGGGATATTTCATTCTATACAGTGCTCTTGTGTGAAATGTCACATTCTTATTTATGAAGAAAAGTGAAAGCTTAAGAAAAAATTTGTGACATGAAAAAATCTTGAGATCTTTAATTTTCCCTTAAAATGTGAATGTTTCCTCTCCAGAAAATATCTGTGTAGACTTGCACTGAATTTTACTTTTTAATAGGAAGACAAGAATAATGGTGGAAGCATAGAATGAGGTCAAGGTAGTGTCAATGAAGTGGATAATTGCAAAGGTGAATGGGGGAAATGAAGTGCAGTGTACTGACCTTTTGAAACTGGATAATTACATCTTAGAGCTAACCTACACCATTTTATGAATAACATGAAAGGCAGGACCCTGAAAAAAACAGACATAGAAAAAGGAACTCCACCTTGTAGAGTTCATTAGCAGGAAAATCTTAATGCTCTTCTTTAGTTTAAGGCAATATAACAGTGGTTGAGGTTCCAAAAGTTTTATTGAAACAAGATTTTTCTCCTACCCCTTAGTTAAGAAAAGATACAGTAGGATGAAGGGCAACAATTAAGGTGCAATGAATGCAAAAAGAAAGATGAAATCTAGCAGTCTACATTATTTCAGGCAGTAAACAGAAGAAATTCCACGTACCTTTCAGCTTTTGCTTTTTAAATGCAAAGATTTGTTAGCTTTCTATAAAACTTGGAAAAAGTTGGAAAGTGTATTTAGAGATCTATGATCTTCAGCTTTTTAAAATAAGTTTTTAAAATAAAGTTGGACAGAAAACAAGCATTATGTCAAAAAAACCCTGTAGTTTTTATCTGATGTGACTTGACAGTGATGTCAGAAATAAAAAACTGCCAAGACAACCAGAAATTCTCCTTGTAAAATTTTTCTTCTACAAAACTGTCATTTTCTTTACCAAAAGCATGATCTGTGAAAGATTATCTGCATATCTCAAATAAAAGCTGATTTGACTGAGAAGAGGTTGGGTTTTTTTGTTGGTTTTTTTTTCGTTTTTTTTTTTAATTTCCCATCTGAATCTCACACAATCACAGCAAATCATTAGTTTCTAATACTATCTGACTTTATACTCAGAACCTATAGGCAAGCTGAATGAGGCCTACAGACTTGTGATCCAGAGAGGGAAGAATTCCTGTTTAAGATTGTGACCTCGGGCAGCCTCACTCAAGTACAAATGTAAAACATCTGTTTCAGTTTGTGCAGATCAAAAATTAAAATTTTAAATCAATATAGTTTTTTTTTTTGTTTTTTTTTTGTCCTTAAATTGACAGTGCAGGGCTTTTTTCATGTTACAAAGATAAATGAACACATGTTTTCAGGATTCTTGATATCCTCATTGTATTGTGCATGGAGGTAATTTCCATTCATCTATGCTACAAATTATTCTACAGAATTTAAGCAAGAGGTATATTACAATGAAAATTTAATAAGCCACGGGTTGATTATGAATTAAGGACCATTACACCCTCCTAATAAAGAAAACCCATTGAAATAACCATAAATCTTTATAAAGTCACAAGTGAATTTCATTCTTACAAATTTCTTCCCCACAGTTACTCAGAAAACTCAGCACAAGAAGAAAATTTTTCCTTTCTGTAACTCAGACAGGAATATTGTCTATCAAAAAATGTCATATCCAAGTCTTTTCAGAGCGAAGAACTTGAAAATTGTGCAGTTTTACCAATCATCTTTCAAATTATTGCACATTGATGAGAAATGCAAGGACAGAGAATCTGCCCTTTCACAGTGGTAGTTTATGAGGTGTCATCAACTTCCAAAGTATGGAATGTGCTTCAGCTGCTAGAAGGAATGGCAAACATGCAGCTTCCTTAAATATGATATCGAGGTAGATTGGATCCAATGAATTGAAAGCAAGCTCTGCCTAAAGAGCAAGAAAAAGCTCCACATTCCTGCATTGAATTCATTGTGAAACATCATTTCAATTCGTGACATAGTTGCACAGGGTCTGAAGATATTTTATCAGTGGTTTAAATGTAATGGTATCAAATGCTTAAAGAGAGTCTCTCAGCACAACTGGGAGAAAAAACTTCTGTGTTGTAGGATCAGGAAAAAACTCATACAGCCAGCAACATCTTCAAAGAGATACACAAGAGAAGAAAATAGTTACATTGATGAATCTGGTTCTCTTAAATCACTTCCAGTTTTAGTTCAGCTCTATCTGTAGAACCTGGAAGATACACCATGGTTCCACTCCACTGCTCACCTCCCTTTGAAAAACATGTAGGAGGAAGATGAATTTCACATAGCAAGACAATCACATGCAACTGGATAGAAAACAGTTCCAAGAATCGTTGTTGCTTGCAAAGTAACCCGAATATAGTTTGGGGTATAGGGGAGGGAGTCTGGTTTTTTTGGGTTTTAAAAATTATTTTCTATTTATTTGGGTTTTTTTTTTTTTTTTGGGGGGGGGGGGGGGGGGGGTTTTTTTTTTTTTTTTTTTTTTTTTAATTTTGAGATTTCTATGGCTAGAAATCTGTAAGAATATGAGAAAAACTGCCAAAGCTCCTAAGGTCTTAAAGAAAACTCATCAAGTTTCCTGCTTCCAAGATCAGGACTGCTACATGCAGATGTGGTGTTTGCTGGCAAGCAAAATTGTTACTTAGCATGTGTGACACTGGGCAGTTTTGCAATGATTATTTCCAGTATGTCTGACATTTTCTAAAATTCTTTTCCTTTTTCACCTAAAAGGTGCAAAGACT